TGCAATTTTTAGCCACTTCATCCTCCATTTTCATATTTAATAGATATTTATACATTCTTTTAATTATTTTATCACCTGTCTCTAGAAATAATTTACCAAAAGTTATTGGTTCTTCATAAAACCCCATTGATTTGTCTGTTATGTATCTCAAGTCTAATTGTAGTCTTGTCCATCAATCGAGAGACCTTCTGCTCCTCTTAACTCCTCTCTGGTCTTTCTTTTTTTTAATTTATTAATTTTTTACATACAAAGAAAAACATACTCACAAACCAAAAACAATACAAATAAAAACAAAAACAAAACAAAACCCCACACATGTAGGCAGGGGGGAAGCATTTCCATACAATATTATCCATTCTTCAAAAGAACTGTCTGCATCAACCTTATTGCTCTATAGAAATTCCAAATATGATTTGTCCTAAAGTTGTACTAATTCCAATTAATTTTTTTTTCTTCTCTCACATTCTTGGCCACCAATAACATGATAGTGCCCTCTTGTATTTTACATTTCCAGCATTTGTTAGCAATGCTGGAAATGTTGTTAGGGAGGTGGGGTAGAAATTGAGTAAATAAGTAAATAAATAAATTCATTTTAGAGAGTTTCATTGGGGTCATGTGCCATCTATAAAACATCTTTTTTTTCTTGGAAATTTACTGGTTTTGTAACCTTAATATTATTCTGATAAATTTGTTTGTCCAGTGGTCTAAATCAATATTATGAGCAATATTTTGCAGCCCGTCTTTTCTATCAGTTTTATCATGCAATTTTTAGCCACTTCATCCTCCATTTTCATATTTAATAGATATTTATACATTCTTTTAATTATTTTATCACCTGTCTCTAGAAATAATTTACCAAAAGTTATTGGTTCTTCATAAAACCCCATTGATTTGTCTGTTATGTATCTCAAGTCTAATTGTAGTCTTGTCCATCAATCGAGAGACCTTCTGCTCCTCTTAACTCCTCTCTGGTCTTTCTTTTTTTTAATTTATTAATTTTTTACATACAAAGAAAAACATACTCACAAACCAAAAACAATACAAATAAAAACAAAAACAAAACAAAACCCCACACATGTAGGCAGGGGGGAAGCATTTCCATACAATATTATCCATTCTTCAAAAGAACTGTCTGCATCAACCTTATTGCTCTATAGAAATTCCAAATATGATTTGTCCTAAAGTTGTACTAATTCCAATTAATTTTTTTTTCTTCTCTCACATTCTTGGCCACCAATTATTCCTCAGGATATCCATGTTGCCATCGTGAAAGATCCACATTTCAACAACAAACAACACCATAAGAAAGACAAAACAAAGCAAAATCACAAAATATATCTAACATTGGCTACTTAATCATATTATACTTCATATGTACTTCATGTCTCCATATAACTGTATTAAATGATCTTCTACACTATGTTAGCTTCACTTTATCATCTATGCAAATATGTATTCCATATCAGACTTTCACGTGGCATCAATACTTCAGAGAATATATATATTATATGTATATCTCACCTTTAAAATTTTTTGGCATATTACAGTTCATGGGTATTTTGTTTCTTTAAATATGTACCTTAAAATCATCAATTTCTGATATTATATTCAACATAAACAAAGTTCCAAGGTGTATTTATCTAGCTTAATAATCTCCAGTGCTCTATTAAACTCTATTATACATATCTAATTTTCATCTTTCATCAGTAATTTAAATATTATCCAGATCTCTTATGACATTATTAACCTACAGTTGATTTGCATCTTAAAGCATACCTTAAAATCATTCATTTCTAATATTATCTTCATTCTACATATTTCAGCTTACGCAATTAATAAATCTTAATCGTCATCTATTACCAAACGTGATCAGAATCATTTTATTGTTATATCCATCAGTTGTCATTTCCCCTTTTATTTATAACATTCTAAACCTGAATTAAAACTGACTCCTTTTTTACCAGTTTTAAAATGCCATCTATAAAACCTTATTAAGTTATTTTCTCTCTGTCTTGGTGGATTTTTACCAATCATCCACATATTCTGCTTTTGAGGCCAAGCAATGTCTAATTTGTAATAATCTAGTTTCCCTTTCAGCCCCCCCTTTTTGCTTTCCTGCTTTACATAAACCCCCATCCAGTTGAGAGATCTTTCTCTTCCCTCGACCTGAACCACTGTCCCACAATGAAAGTCAGTTTCCATAGTCTCCTTTTGGAAGATTTCACCCTTCTCCATCATTCTTCCTTGTGCTGCTAATGCGGGCTGATCTATTTGCATTTCAGTTCCGGTCTGCTGTTCTGACGAAAAGTTCCAATACTCCGTCTCTGTCGTTTTCTTTATCTCTGAAAGCTGCGCCTGGAGCTCGGAAAACTGGGTTTGGAGGTGGTGAAGAATATTCTTTTGCAAGTTCTGAAAAGCATTTCTTATATCTTCTGTAGAAATCATCATGATGATTAGAGATGCTTCCTAGTTTCCAAATACACACCTCATTTAAAGAGGCATTCCTTGTCACAGAAATACCCTTCTTCCAGCCGAAAGCCATAAAGCCGTAAAGTACTTAAGTTGTAAAAGTCATTTCCTCAGCAGAGCTGAAGATTTATACTGTCCCGAACTCCGGCTTTCACCAAATGGCTTCAATTGTAAATTGTTGACTATAAGTTATTCTCACCAGGGACAGGGAAGGATAATGAAAGTCTCTGTCCTTAACCGCTCAAAACTCCTGTTTTCAGGCGTGATGCAATAATAAAATACCAATCTGTTTGGGCTTGGAGCTTGGTAGCCGCTTCAGGATTACACTTATCTTATTTTAAAATCAACCACTTAAGTTTGTTTTGTACTCACAGAGGCAGTGATTAATAGATAGTACTTGTTGACACAGTCCATCGTAAATCTCCGTGCTTCCCTCCTGCGGCAGAGCTTCACAGCTAGGACGACATTAGGAAATGGCGTCGGCGGAGGTCCTTCGTCTGGCCAGCATGCAACAATTCTTGACCAACTTTTGTGTCTGTCTGAACATCTATTGCATTTGGATGCCTTGTTCTCCAGGTGTCAGTCATATTGAGCTGCAGAAAGGGTTTTGGCAACATATTCTTCCTTTTATGTTTTGGGGGTGGGTTAAACTGCAGAAGCCTCTGTGCTGCAGGGTCGGAAGACCAGCAGTTGTAAGATCGAATCCACGTGACAGAGTGAGCTCCTGTTGCTTGCCCCAGCTCCTGCCAACCTAGCCATTTGAAAGCATGTAAATGTGAGTAGATAAATAGGTACCACCACGGTGGGGAGGTAACAGCACTCCGTGTCTAGTTGTGCTGGCCATGTGACCATGGAAACTGTGTACGGACAAACGCTGGCTCTATGGCTTGGAGAAGGAGATGAGCATGGACATGAGTCGGACATGACTGGACTACATGTCAAGGGGAACCTTTACCTTTACCTTCAAGCGATTTACATTAACTAAAAGAATTCTGATCCTTTTATTCATTTAATCCGTCTTTATTATTAAGGTTTTATTTTTTCCTCTTGGATCTTCTTGTTTGTATAGGGCGCTTTCCTTTAGAATTTCCCACTTTGTGTTCTTGTTCAGTTTGAGCTTCCTTCCAAGTCTTATCCGGATGATACACTTGATTTCCCCCTTCCCATTTCTCCTCTGTCTTTTTCTCTTCTTTCCTGCCTAGCCATTTCCCCTTTTTTCCATTCAGTCTTCTTTCTTAATTGTTGAGTTGATAAAATATCTCTGTGACTGAAATTGGAAGAGGGCACTGTTACATACAGCACTGATGTTACCTGTCTGTCATGGGTTGGAGGGAAAGTTCCATCCTATGGGGAGTGGAAGGCGGGACATCAGGAGGAGGGGCTGTACTGTATATATATGTGGAGTTTGTGTGGAGAAGTTGGAGAAGCAGGAGAAGAGCTGAGAGAAGAAGCTTGAGTGGGAGTCTGTGTGTCAGACAGGGTACTACTGTGTGTCAGTCAGTACCAACCTGATAGGTTCAGGTGTCTGTAGGGTTAGGCACCTTCAGGCATCAGTCACTTATATGTAATTTAATTTGCTCTCAAGAGGGATGTCAGCTCCGCATATTGTCTCCTTTTCTGTCTTATTTGCAACAGAATGTGTTTCAAAATCTTACTTTCTTTGTCTTTTATGATAGATCCTTTGTCTTGAATATTTTTAGGAACTTGTCTTGAAATATCATTCTTGTAAAACCTGACCTGAAACCCAACCAGTCTTGCCGCAACAAAACCCAGCTTTGTCATTGTGTTTCAATTGCTTTTCTTTGATTTGTTCATTGCAAACAGCTGAAAATCTATAAATTTTGACAATAAACCTGATTTGCAATGTGGGTTGAATAATTTTGATTACAACTGTAGAAGTGTGATTGAAACTGATCCATTCTCAGTAAGGTGTAGCTATATATACTCCATGCATTGGGATGTAGATACCAATTTTGGCTGCTCTCCCCATCCTGGCTCATTTGTATTGCATCCAAACTATTTTAGGAGATCAAAAATCAGGAACAGAACATATTTTAAGATATCCAATTTTTACATATTTTAAGAGATCCGACATAAGGAACAGAACATGTACGTATAGCCAGCATGCTTAGAGTACAATTATATCGTATTAGAATGCTGGGACCTTCTTTGTATATTTGATTTAGTATAAAGGTCCATCTATTTTCAAAGTTAAACTAATGGAAGAATATTGATTGGCTTTTGAGAACCACAGTAATATAAAATGTTTGTTTATGTTGGTGAAATAGTGGGTCAAAATTCTTTTTGAGTGGGATCCGCCTATGTAATAGTAATAACATCATCACCAGCGGATTGCCACTGGTTAAAAACTTCTTTTGTCTCATTGTGTGTAAGCCATGCACATACAAAAATCAAAAACAGAAATGAGTGGCAGCTATCTGCCACTGATAATGTCATTGTCATTCCTATTGCGCAAGCAGAGCTGCACAACAGGATTTTGGTAAATTATTTTCTTGTCTCCTTAAAATTAGGGAATATTTGGATTAAAAGGAGAACGTGGCCCACCAGGAATAAGTGGTTTCCCAGGACCACGTGGAGAAAGAGGCTTTCCTGGTCCCGCCGGAATTGGACCTGTTGGGCCAGCTGGTGATAAAGGAGAGAAAGGCGTATCAGGGATACCTGGTGCACCAGGACTGCCAGGTAATACTGCTAATGGTAGTCAGCTTTCATTTTCTTTTTAATGTACGCATTTTTGTTATACAGTATATACAGAGAAAAATTCTGAGTGGAAGACCTACAAAAGATATATAATTCAATGACTGGAATGACAGAGAATTGTTTTACAGCTAAGCAATACGATGATAGCATGATGCAATGTGATTATGACTTTTGTGAGACCCAAATGTGAATTTAAAATTGGTGTGCAAACTTCCAAAACAACAGTTCTATTCTTCAAGTATGATGTTACAAAAACCAGGTGGGAGAGGTTTGAAGTTAGAGCTGGCTAGTCTGCATGCTATTTTAAGATGAGGAGGAAGTTGCAAATGCCCAAATAAGATTTCTCAGGTATAAGATATCCTGAACAGCCTCTATGTTTTCTGTGAAAAAGGAAGGGATTAATTGCTGAGTGCAATTAATTACGGAGCTTGTAATAAATTTAATAATATGTGTAGCACAATAGTGATCAATATAAAAATATGGCAAATGTGTTGTTTTTAGCTGGATTTAAAAGTTGTATGTCTAGGTTGCCATTCTATGGATTTTCATTCAAAAATAAGTGACTCTTATTCAGTGAGGTTTGTAAAGCTATGCTGTTCAGGATTTAGAATTTGGATTTTAAAAGTACAACATTACAGCAGCACCCTGTACGAGTATACTTGGGATTGCATACTATTGCATTCATTGACATTTCAAGGTAATAATGTACAGTGGACCCTTGACTTACAGATGGCTTGACTTACAGACTTTTTGAGTTACAGACTTCTCTGGCCGCAAAATTTAGGTTTGACTTGCAGACTGAGATTTGACTTACAGACCAGAAAAAAAACAAAATGGAACAAAAATGGCCTGTTACTGGATTAATCGGTTTTCAATGCACTGTAGGTCAATGGAGACTTGACTTACAGACTTTTTGACTTGAGAACCGCCTTCCAATACGGATTAAGTTCTCAAGTCAAGACCCCACTGTATGCACCCTGAATTGCTCTTCTCATGGAATGTAGAGGTCAGTTCCTGTCATTAAACACATGATGGTAAAGCACCAGGAAATACACTGTTCATTCAGAAAAGCAACTGAGCCAAAGAGTATATGCCCATTAGACATGGGGACAAATTAAAAAAAAGGGATGGCGATATTCGTTTAAAATCGCTGATTTGTTAAATATTCATCCCTTCATATTCATGGGTTCCAGAGACCCCCATGAATACAAAGGGATGAATATTTCCCCATTTTTATTTGTCCCCCATACAAAGGGGGGGGGGAAGCCATCATACGGCTTTTCCATTCTGCCTACCAGCCTGCCGATCAGATGATCAGTGGGCCAATAGCACCCACCCACCCCCATAACCACCTACCCCACAGCCTTTCCCCCACCCCCTTCCTCTCCCTACCTTAGCCCCTCCACCCCCACGTCTGCCGACACCCCCTTACCATAATTGCCGCCGCCACTGTCAAGGTCTCCATCAGGCCTCCGCAGCCACGGCCTGTAGAAAGGGAAACTGGCTGCCCTTTGCAAAGATGGCAGCTGCGACTTCATTTGGGATAGGGAAGCTGCAGCTGCCATCTTTGCAAAGGGCAGCCTAGATTCCCTTAAGGCAGGCTAAGTGTTTTTTTTAGTAACCCCCCATTAATCAATGAATAAATTTGTTATTCGTCGGTTCATGGGGGCAACTTCATGCTTCATGAATCGTCAACTTTTGATGACTCACGAAGCAGGACAACTCATCAAAATGTTGAGTCATCCCCATCTCTAATACCTATATATGCCTATTAATATTCATTTCTTAATTTACAAGGACCCAAAGGAGAAGCTGGCCACATTATTTCCCTGCCTGGTGCCCCAGGAGCAAATGGTGTTCCTGGACCCCCTGGAATTCAAGGCATCCAAGGTACCTTGTTTCATGTTAATGTGGTGAGTTTTCCACAGTTTTCCCCTTCCCACAAAAGAAACTGTTTGCCAAAGAAACTAAACATAATTCATTTTGTATGTACAGGTGACAAGGGAGATCCAGGGCTCCCAGGAAGATCTGGCCCACCAGGTGAAAAAGGTCTGACAGGGCCACCAGGAATAGGGTTTCCTGGCCTACCAGGGCCTCCAGGTACTTTATTATTTATAATTTAAAGTGATTGGCCATTGGACAAATGTTTCTTGGTATACAAATAGACTGATTTAAATCTAGTGCATCCTGCCATATTTAAGGGAACTGAAGTAGGATAATGACCACAAATGGATACCCAGTGTGGTACGGTGGGTAGAGAGATGGACTAAAGGACTCAAAGGACCTGGGTTTGAATCCCCATTTGGCCATGGAAACTCTGAAGGTGTGTGTGTAACTGGTAAAACCACTCATTAAATATCTCACCTTGAAAGCCCTATTTGGTTCACTTACAGTCAGCTCTGACTTGATGGTACACAACAACAACAAAGACCACAAATAGCCTTTAAAAGAGGAAAATAATTGCCAAGGGGTGAGAATTTGCAATGGCCATTTCCAATATCCACCATGGCCACACTCTGATTTTATGCCACTAAAATATGGCAGTTTCCTCCTGGAGCTTGTAAGCAGCTTACTTAATTTAATTATAACTCTAAATGATTCTCAGGAGGCTTTAGGTAGTGAGTTTCCAGAAGGTTGTGGTTTAGTAGCTGCCAACTCAGGCAGTATGCCTGGGAAAAATTTTCCCCTCTCTTTACATAAGTGTAAAGAACTAACCCTTTAACATCTCTGAAGTGAAGAGTGTCCTCTATGAGATTCAGCAGTGAAAAATATACTATTGATTTCTAATTTCTTGTTGAGAATGAGGATATTGACCCACCTCCCCATTTGTAGCATTGTCATGCTTATTGAAGAATGACTTCTGTCTTGATGACGTTCCCTTTCCCTTGGGCTTGTCCAGATGGGGAAATTTTGAATAGTCTGGTTCTCACTTTAAAAGTCCTTATCTCAGTGGGACCTATTTTATCTCTCACTTGAGCAGTCCTTCACTTCACAATGGAAATGTTAGGTCCACACAAGTCTTTGGATCTCTGGGTTAATTGTTTGTAAGTTTATCTAGTTTACTCACAAATAAATTTATTTGCTAGTAAGGAGGCAGCAGTGGCAAGCTCACAGCAGTATTACTGGCAGAAGGGGAAAATGTTGAGTTAAAGGCTGAGGAGATGAAAGGTTGGAATCTCCCCATTTCCCCCCTTTTTCCTTAGTCAGACCTCTGCTGGAGCTGGACTGCCTTGTTGGGGCAGATGCCATGCAGTCAACACAACTCCCTTTCCTCTTTTTTCTTGCAGCCATCATTTAGCTGAGTACAGTGGCTTACCTTTTTCTTTTTCTTCTTCTTTTTGTTAATTAAAATAAATGGCATATTGAAAGAGGAATGCATCAACCTAGCATGGTAAAGTGCCTTGCATAGCGATCGCTCCATTTTACGACGAAATTGCTTTGCGATTGACTTTTTGCGATCGCAAAAGTGATGGCTTTGCGATGTTCCCTATGGGGTATTTTCGCTTTGCGATGATCACAGGGAAGTGATCATCGCAAAGCCCCCATTTTTGCACAGCTGATCGGCGGTTTCAAAATTGCCGCTGGGTAAACAAAATGGCCTCCTGCTGTTTTTTGGGACAGATTCCTCGCTTTAGAGGCACTGAAAATGGCAGCGTTATGGAGGATCTTCGCTCAACGGTGAGTTTTAAGCCCATAGGAACGCATTGAAGGGGTTTCAGTGCGTTTCTATGGGCTTTTTAATATCAGCGACATTTTCGTTCTGCAGCGATTTTTGCAGAATGAATTAACATCGCTAAGCGAGGCACCACTGTATTAGAATTTTGCTGTATCAGTCAGTTTTTTAAAAGAAGATGAAAATAAAGGAGGGTGTTTCTCTGTCTTCACTTTTAATGCCACAACCCACCTCTATGTCACAGGATTGATAATGCCACTGCACAGCTCTGTTTGGGTGTGAGCTCACTGTTACATACAGCACTGATGTTACCTGTCTGTCATGGGTTTGGAGGGAAAGTTCCATCCTATGGGGAGTGGAAGGCGGGACATCAGGAGGAGGGGCTGTACTGTATATATATGTGGAGCCTGTGTGGAGAAGTTTAGGAGAGCTGGAGGAGAGCTGAGAGAAGAAGCTGGTGTGGGAGTCTGTGTGTCAGACAGGGTACTACTGTGTGTCAGTCAGTACCAACCTGATAGGTTCAGGTGTCTGTATGGGTAGCCAGAACTGATAGGTTCAGGGTCTGTGCTTTAGTGAAAGGTGTTCTGTGTGAACCAAACTGGTGTATGTATGATTGAGACTAAGCCACGTTACTGTATCTTATTCACCTGATCATTTTATTTTCCCTGTGTGTTATTTAAATAAACCTTATTCCTTTGTTTGTTAAAAATCCATTCCTAGTCTGAGTGACTCCTTACAGGGAATGGTTGGTGGCAGCTTAGTGAAACTGTGGCATATAACTGTGGCATATCCCAGGAGGTCTGGGGTTGTCACATTGATTGGTGTCCAGCGTGTGGGATACGACTGGTCCAGTTGTCCAGTGGTCCAGCAAAGCCTTGGCAAGTGTGCCCAGAGCAAGGGGGGTCTAGTCAGGGACAATCTGAGAGCGCGTAGGTAATCTTCTAGGCTTACCTCACGGGGAGGTACGCTAGTGGAAGAACGTG